AGGCAGGGTGAAGTGGGGAGACTGTGATGTGTGAAGCTAAGATGGGTATGGGAGAGAGGAGAGAGGAACAGGAGCCAAAAACATACAAACAAAAAAGAGTGCTGGGGAGCTTGCCGTTGGAGTGGAGAGATGAGAGACTACGAAATGGAGAAAAACAAAAAGGAGAAGAAGAAGAAAAAAAAGAAAAGAAAAGAAAAGAAAAAAATGAATAAATAAAAATTAGAAAGAAAGAAGAAAAGCAAAGCTCCCAGGGATCCCTCCGGTAGGGCTGCAAGGTCTGGGGAAGTTGCTTCCAGGCCATGAAGTACAGCCTGGCCAGAAGGGGCAGAAGTGTCACTCAGTGCCAGGTATTCAGGGGACAGGAAGAGAAGGAAAGTACAGAGACAAGAAACTGAGTAATGAAGAAAGACAAAAAGGGAAAAAGAGGGAAAACAAAACAAAACAAATTAAAAAAAAGAACAAGAAAAACAGAAAAAAAAAAGCCCCCCAAAAAACAAGAAAAAAGAAATGCCCTCGGGGATCCCTGTGCGTGTCTGCGCAAACTGAGGGGGTAGGTCCCAAGTCACGCAGTACTGCTGAGCTAGAACAGGCTCCCAATTGGAGAAAAGAAAAAGAAAACAAACAAACGAACAATTCAAAACAAATAAACATAAAGCCCCGAGATCCCACCAGTGTGGCAGCACAGGCCGGGAAGCAGTTTCACATTCAAGCAGCATTTCACAGCCTTTCAGGAAGAAGCAAAGATGGCGCACAGAGCCAGGTATTTGAGAGAAAGGAGGGGGAGGTGGTGAGAGGTGAGGAAGAAATCTAAAGTGGAAAAAAGCAACACCAGCAGCCAACAAATGGACTTAGGGAGCTGGCCAGTGCAGGTAGGTGGAAGTGACACCGGGGTGAAGGTGGTTCTTCCTAGCCAAGACACTGGCCACAGGAAGCAGAGGAGGCTGAGTAGGGGTGAAGAAGGGTGGGGGGTGGGAAAGCATATATCGCTGGTTACCGGTCATTCTGTCTCCTGCTGGAAGCTCCGTGAAGCTGCTTTCTCGTACCCCATTTGATGATCTCTGATAGGAGTCCAAGATGGCGGATCTGTGCTGCATTAGCTGATAGGGGACCTCTGCATGTCTCTCCTTGCTCTCTGTTCTCTGTCAGTTTCCTATTCCATCTGGTGCTTGGCTAAGTTCTTTATCTCTTCATTTGATGCTTAGGGTTTCAGGACTGCCGTTTTCTCTGTTTGGTTTAGTTTTTCGGATCTTTGCTGTGGAGGGATGGCGTGGTGCTTCTGCCTATAGTGCCATGTTGCCTGGAAGTCTAATCCATCTTATTACATTATAATGGTAGAGTTTATAACACTTAAGGAAATCATATCAGATTACAAAATGGTACACAATTATACAATACTGAGAATCATGACCCAGCCAAGTTGACAGATATTTTTGGGGGACACAATTCAATCCATGACACTCCACCCTTTGGCCCCCCAAAATTCATGTCCTTGCCACGTGTAAAACATATTCACCCCATCATATCACAGCAAAAGTCTTAAATCAACTCCAGCTCCAAAATCCAAAAATTCCTCTTCATCTGTGAAATCTAGAATACAAATTATCTTCTTCCAAAGGTACAATGGCAGAACCGGCACAAGCTAAACATTTCCATTACAAATGGGAGAAAATGAAGATAAAGAAAGCATAACAGGCACCAAGCAAGTCAGCAGAACACATTACATTAGCCCTCGAGGCTTTGAAAATAATCCTGTTCTCTGAGACAATTTACACAATGACCCTGCCCTTCAGACTCTAGGTATTGGCCACACTCTCTGGATTCAGAGTGGAGGCCCCTTGGCCCTGGGCTTCAGCTCCGCCTTCCAGGCCCACTGGGACGGGAACTCTGCTTCCTTGGCTTTAGGCGCACCATTCTTCTAGTCCATCAGAGTGACAATTCCACCCTAAGAAACACCAGAGGCCATGGTTCCACCCTTCGAAACCCCAGAGGCCATGGTTCCACCCTTCGAAAACCCAGAGGTCACAGCCACACCTTTTGAGACTGAGGCAGCTGGCTTCTTGTGTTACTTATCTCTTCAGCTTCTGCTTCCTGTGGCCTCTCAGCCTCAGGCCTCACGCCGGCATCTGCCCTGCTGGGGCAAGTGTTCCAAAGCTTGGTAGCTCCACCAATAAGTGCCCGGAGGTACCCTACTCTGCCAGGAAGCCTCCTGTGCACAGGCACTCAGCTCTCTTGCTCCATAGGTCGGCTCCAGTGCTGTCTTGCGCTGGTTTCCTGGTTCTGCTGCTGCTGGTTCTCTGATGCTGCTGGTCCTCTGCCACTGCCACTCCTCTATCCATTCACAGTTTCTAAACCACTTCCACATTTTAGGTATCTGCTAGAGCAGCACCACTCTCTCGGTACCAAATTCTGTCTTAGTCATCTAGTGCTGCTACAACAGAAACACCACAAGTGGATGGCTCCAACAAAGACAAATCTATTCTCTCACAGTCTAGTAGGCTACAAGTCCAAACCCAGGGGGTCAGTTCCAGCGGAAGGCTTTCTCTGTTGGCTCCAGAGGAAGGTCCATGTCACCAATCTTCCCTTGGTCTAGGAGCCTCTCTGCGCAGGAAACTCAGGTCCAAAGGATGTGCTCTGCTCCAGGCACTGCTTTGTTGGTGGCATGAGGTTTCCATGTGTCTCTGCTTGCTTCTGTCTTTTATATCTCAACAGAGATAGGCTTAAGACACTAATCTTGAAGACCTCATCAGTATAACTGCTGCTAATCCATCTTATTACAGCATAGTGATAGAGTTTACAACACATAAGGAAATCATATCAGATTACAAAATGGTACACAATCATACAATACTGGGAATCATGACCTAGCCAAGTTGACAGTTATTTTTGGGGGACACAATTCAATTCATGACATTCAGTAATATACCTTTTCTTCCTCTTCCATTTTTGTGGAGAGGTTTTCTGGGTTGGGAGTAGATTTTGTTTTTAGTAACTTTTCCTCAACAGACTCTAGGTGGGGAGTTAATTTCCAAATTCCCAGTGAGTCAGATGTGAGGAGGTCTGTGAGCAGGGCTGAATGGGGTTGAGGGACAAGGTGAGTGAGAACAGAAGTGAAAGGAAGGGCTGGAGAAGCAGCACTGTATGGACGGAAGGGTCATGAGGAAGCCAGGTCAGGCTTTGAGTCGGGGATGAAATAGAAGATAGCGAGGACCAGCACGCAGCCTCAGAAGCAGCCTCAACACAGCACTCCAAGCACATAGGGTGCATTCAGCGATGGAGAGCCAAGACCAGTGGACTAGCCAGGGATGAGGTTAGGGGCTGGGGTAGCTCCGCTGGACCAGTCTGAGAAAGGGTAAAAGGAGGAACAGAGTCCACACCCGCGATGGAGTAAACACTGACTCACTGACCCAGGGGAAGCCATGTTTACCTGGAGGCTGGGCTTCTCCAAAGAGGGAACTTTTGTCCAATGACAGTTAAATCATGGCCATTCAGATTCCCGTCTCTGGACAGGGTGGGGGTTAGTGTTCCAGAGTCCACTCGAGGCAGGAGGGAAGTGGATGGTCAGGCGTGGGTGTCCCGGCTCATGGGGACATGCAGAATACAGCCTCAGTGTTCAGAGCAGGCTAAAGGGTGTGGGGATGGGGTAATCCGCAATTTGGGAAGAGTCACTGTCCTGGCTCCAGGCAGCCCATCTGGAGGGGCTGGTGGCTGCTGCTGCCTCCCCAGGACCATCAAGGCCTGGGTCCCCTCGTGGGGTGCTCCGATGAGGAGCCAGAATGTGCTAGGGCCCTGACTTTGTCAGAGCGAACATCAATTGTTCTTGAAAACAGCAAGCCCATCAGCACTGGCCACAACAGCAACAGTGACCACCAGGCCATTTCTATCCGCGACAACCTCATCTGTCTCCTCCCCACAGGAAACAGCATGCTCAATCTCTCCAAAAGGAGTGACGACACTCACAACCTCACCACCAGCACAAGGTCGAAAACTCCAAAGGGTTTTCAATGGCTGTGATATTTTGGAAGGAGAATTGCCAAGGCCTTTCTTCTGAGGGACCTCTGGGTGGATTTGAGCCACCAACCTTTTGGTTAGTAGCTGAGCGCTTAACCATTTGCGCCACCCAGGGACTCCTACTGATAAATAAGTTACCCTAAAAGCACTGCATTTCAATTATGGTGTTGGCAAAGAATATTGAATATACCATGGAATGCCAGAAGAACAAGCAAATCCGTGTTGGAAGAAGTACAACCAGAATGCTCCTTAGAAGCAAAGGTGGCGAGAGACTTTGTCGCATATACTTTGGACATGTTATCAGGAAGGATCAATTCCCGGAGAAGGACATCATGCTTGGTAAAGTACAGGGTCAGTGAAAAAGAGGAAGACCTTCAACGAGATGGACTGACACAGTGGCTGCAACGATGGGCTCAAACATACAATGATTGTGAGGATGGCGTAGGACTGGGCAGCATTTTGTTCTGTTGTACATGGGGTCGCTATGAGTTGGAACTGACTCGACAACACCTAAAAACAACAAAAAGCCCTGCAGGGCCTTTCTGAAAGTCCAGAATTTGAAATCATTCTTTAATTAACTCAATAGTATTAGGTCAAATTGGTGATAACTGTTAGATCACCTAAAACTACCATGCTGGGAACAGAAATCTCTGGATAAATCTAGATAAATTATTCACCTTTTAGTGAAGGCGTATTAATATTTACAGCTCTAATAAAACACAAGGAGTCCTGGTGGCACAGTGGTTAAAGTGCCTGACTGCTAAACAAAAGGTCAGCAGTTAGAATCCACCAGCCGCTCCACAGGAGAAAGATGTGGCAGTCTGCTTGCATAAAGATTGCCTTGGAAACACTATGGGGCAGTTCTACTCTGTCCTATAGGGTCGCTATGAGTCGGAATAGACACGACGACAGTGGTTTAATAAAACACACGTGCAACAACAGACGATCGAAGTTGGCAAAATCTCTAAAACTGGTCATAATCAAGAGAGCCTCCCCTCAGCCCTCCTCCTGCCACCCACCCGTTCCAAATCCCTCGGCTCTCGTCTGGCTCTGTAACAAGCTGCGCTAGTCCAAACCGGGGCCTGGAAGTGTTTGCGTCCACTTGCGAGCAGGTTATACGAGTTCTCAGATGTTCCTCATACTGGAACCTGACCTGCTTCTCTGCTGTTTTTCCTATTTCAGTCTTAAATGGCCTGCTCACAACCCTTTTAATTTCCTTTGGAAAATGAAAAAAGACGCTTTGTACAATTCTGATTGAAAGCATATACAGTACATTTGTTCTGGCATCTAAAATACCTTTATTCTCTCCCTCAGTCTCTGCTTAACTCAACTAGATGCTTCAAAGCCTATTTGGGTCCCTGACTCGTTTCTGCTCCCCATCGCCCATTTCTGGCTCAGTCAGCCCTCTAGCACGCTGCTGAACCCCCAGAACCAGTATTTAAGGTGCCAAAACCTTGGTCATAATCTACATCATTCTGGGACCCCTACTCCAAGGCCTTACATTGACGTCTGCTCTCCTGCATCAGGAGCCCTCGTGGCGAAGCGGTAAAGAGCTCAGCTGCTAACCCAAAGGCAGGCAGTTGGAATCCACCAGCCGTTCCTTGGAAACCCTGTGGGGCAGTTCTACTCTGTCCTATAGGGTCGCTATGAGTTGGAATTGACTCGACGGCAACAGATTTTCCTGCATCAGAAATCTCGCTCCCAGAAGTGACTCAGGACTCTGTCCCAGTGCTCAGAGAACAGGATTGGGAGGGAAAGCCCAGGGTAGGTCTGGGTGTGGGGTGGGAGGCCCAGGAGCCTCTATACCACGGGGCGAGGCTCCCCGGCTGTGGCTGAGAGCAGAGAGCTTCTGGAGTAGGGGTCAGGCTGCATCCCTTTCTGGCCTGCAACTCCTTTGCTGTTGGGTGCCATCGAATCAATTGCGACCCACAGCGACCCTGTGTGACAGAGTAGAACTGCGCCATAGGGATTTCTAGACTGTAATCTTTATAGAAGCCAACTGCCACATCTTTCTCCCACGGAGCAGCAGCTGGTGGGTTCGAACTGCCAACTTTTCAGTTAGCAGCCGAGTGCTTAACCATTGCACAACCAGGACCATTGCAACTCTTCTACATACAAAAGAGTATATTATAATTATTATTGTGTTATTAGTTGCCGTAGAATCAATTCTGACAGGTGGTGACTCCGTGTGTGCAGAGTAGAACTGCTCCATAGGGTTTCCAAGGCTGTGAAGTTTTTGGAAGCAGATCGCCAGGCCTATCTTCTGAGGCATCTCTGGGTGGGTGCAAACTGCCAAGCTTTTGGCTAATAGCTGAGCGTTTAACCACTTGCACCACCCAGGGACTCTACTGGACCTGCAACTCCTGCTGCTGCTCCTGTTAGGTTCTAGGCCTCATGGTCCCAGCAGTGACCCGCCTGCTGCCCGAGCTCTTACCTGAGACAGACACGCCAGCCCCTGCAGGGCCAGGCTTCCCCACTTTGTGGGCTGGGAGATGAGCATTTGACAGGGGCTCCAAGTGGCCACTTCTGGCCTGTCGGGCCATCTGGGGAGAAATGAGATCATCTTCCAGCCTGGAGAGAGAAAACAAAAAACCAGAGCAATTAATATAGATACCACCTGTTGCCATGGAGTCGACACCATGTGTGTCGGAGTGGAACTGTGCTCCAGGGTACATAAATACAGACATCCAGGAGATACGTGACTGCTGGCTACCGTGTAGCACCACAAACGCAGGATGTGGCAGAACTGGAAATTCTTCTGTTAAACCGGTATTAGATAGATAGGTGTACATGATTGATTTATGTACAAGAGAAGGAACTGTTTCCCAGGCCTGTGTCATCCTCGTGATTGCTGGCATGTTCAAGTCCATCATTGCAGCTATTGTGTCAATCCATCTCACCAAGGGTCTCCCTTGCCCTTGTTGGCCCTCTACTTCACCAAACATGGTATCTTCCTCCAGCGATTGATGCTTCCTGATGACGTCCAAAGCAAGCGAGTCAGACAATGTTCTATTGTGATCCATAAGACTTTCATTGGCCAGGCCTTTCTTCCTAATCTTAGTCTGGAAGCTCCACTGAAACCTGTCCAACATGGTGACCTTGCTGGTAGTTGAAATACTGGTGGCGTAGCTTCCAGCATCACAGCAACACACAAGCCACCACAATATGGCAAACCAATATTGGTGGAAACCAATATTAGCAGATAGTCAGTCTTTTTAAGGGTATGGACAGAAACCAGGAGGCTGACCTGGGGAGCGGTGCCCTTACCTCACTCCTGTCAGCCCCGTTTATAAGTTCACAGTGATACGTGGCTGCAAGGAAGTGCTTAGATCTTTCTAATACACAAGTGTGTCTACGGCTTTGGATGTCATGGGAGATGGTAGTTCAACCAAATGATGTGCGACCTGAGTGTTCTAGTTTTTCACCAAGGATGAGCCAGATTAGAGAGGGGAGGAATCCAGTCAGAAAACAGGTCTTCAGCCATGACGAGAGTTAGGCAGGAACAAGACTGGGGAGGAAGTTATTTCCTCATAAAACTACCTCAATGGCACATGCCAAACAGCTCCCTGCGTTGCAGATGGTGAGACGGCTGGCGAAGACGTGTTCACCCAGCAGATGCTGGGTGAGAGCCTCATGGTGCCAACCTGTGCCAGGCACAAGAGACAGCCGAGCCCTGGCGAGCTCACCACAGAGAGCAGGCTGGGCTGGAGTTAGATTCATTCAGAGGCATCGAGGAGCCTGTCTGTAAAGCAGACTGGGGGCGGGGGGCAGGACTAGCCCAAGAGGTGGCAGAACGTCATTGTCATCAGGGTGGGAGAGCTCCAGAGGAGGGAGGGGTCAGCAGTGGCAGCGAGACACAAGACAAGTCAGGGGTGACACGAGGTGTCCTCAGCACACTGCAGGGCCTGTGACCGCGGCAGCAGTCACTTTCTGAAGGCCAGGACGGGTCACACAGGGTTGTGGGAGGAGGGAGACGGGGCAGGCTGAAAGGCCCAGGGCAAGGAGGCAGACGGGCGGGGGCTGAAGATAAGCAAAAGGAGGCAGTCAGTGCTGGGGCCAAGTTTGGACAGAGACGGAAGGAGGGTGTGGAGAGGATGAGGTCTGGGCAGGAAGGCGTCAGGAGGAAAGCGGGGTTGGGGAGGGGAGCCGTGCATCTGCAGTGAGGGAGGGTGGGAGCTTCCCACATAATACAGGGGCGACTGGGCAGGTTTTTATTTTCAACTTTTTCCCCTTGATTATAAAGCGAGTGTTTGCCATGAAAAAACTGGAAAACAGAATGACCTGCCCTTCTACTACCAAGACACAACCACTATTAACATTTGCTATCTTTCCAATTGTTCTAAAAAATGCAAATATATACTTAAAACACGAAAACTAGCTAAGGGTCACTCAATGCGGGAACAGCGTGGCCAGAGTCACACTGTCTTATAATTCATTTTCCGTTCAGCCATATTCTGTGAGGCTCTTACCATGCCATTAAATATTCTAAAACATCACTTTCAATACTGTTTTGTGTGGATGTATCATAATTTACGTAACCAGCCTTCAACTTTGGGCATTTGGGTTGTTTCTCATTTTATAATAACCCTGCAATAAACACCCTTGAACGTACACCTGTGAACATCTCTGATTACTTCTCAGCACAAAATCCTGGAAATGGAACTGTTGCTGTTGTGTGCCGTCGATTCTGACTCATAGTGGCCCTAAAGGAGAGAGTAGAACTGTCCCGTAGGATTTCCTAAAAGTATGAATGGGAGTAATACATACTGTCAGCCATGTCAGGCCAACAGTGGGTGCCAGCTATGAACGGACTCAGGAAGACTTAGAGGGGTGAGTTCACATTGTGGAGGTTGGACTCTGAAAAGCCAGGGTGCTGATGGTTTCCTGCCTGCATGGACTACTCCAGCACTTCACCATCACATACTCACCACATCGAACAAACTCTCCCCCTACTCGCTGGTTTGCTGTGTGCTTCTGAAGGCAGGAGCCACACCCCATCTACTTCTGCGCCTCCAGAGATTAGCAAACCATCTGGCACATGGAAGTGATAAAAATGTTTGGTGAAATGACTCAAAGGAGGGAGGTGGTGATGGGGCTGCGGTGTCATTAGTGGGGCGGAGCCGCCATTTCCAAGAACATGTGCCGTCATTACTCTGCAAGTTTGCAACAGCTGGTGAGTTTGAGCGCTATTCAGGATGTCCCCTCCGTAAATCAGGGGACAGCTGATTGGGGACGGCTCCCCACACATGGAGAAACGTCCTCTTCTTTCTTGCCAAAAAGCAGAACATCTAACCCAAGAATTGAGTATGCCCACTGGTTAGATCTTGTGTTTATTAGACTTGTCTCTGATTAAAATATCCTGACCTCTCTGTCAAGCCAGGGATTTCATCATTTTTTAAAAATGATTTTTAAATAATTTTTCGAAACCATGATTTGGTGTCCTCTTTCCCACGTCAACCAAGACCAGTTTTATTAGCCCTAGATACTGCTTCCATTCAAAAAGATAAGTATTTCTAAACTGGATTTGCTAGGAATTGACACCTGGCTGTATTTGGGATCAAAAAACAAACACAAAACCCCCCCTATATATATAAGTGACATTTGGGGGACAGTTGGGGATACCTGAATATTGATACAGACTGTGAAATATTATTAATGTTAATTTTCTTAGATGTGATACGTGGCTGTGTACTACGAGACGCATGCTGGAAGTCTGTAACCTTCTTTCAGAGAGTTAGGCAAAAAGTGTGTGCACATAAATTATATGTTATACACATATAGAGAGAGGGAGAGAGAAGGCAGCCATAGCACAACGTTAACAACTGGTAGGTGTTCACCGTAACATCCTTTCAACTTTTCTGTAGGTTAGGAAGTACTGGTTGAAGCTGTGAGACAAAAAGGCATGGTATCTGTATATCAGTAATTTTCAGTCACCTCATATGCATACGAAAGTTGGACAATGAATGAGGAAGACTGAAGAACTGATGTCCCTGAATTATGGTGTTGGGGAAGAATACTGAATACACCATGGACTGCCAGAAGAACGAATAAATCTGTCTTGGAAGAAGTACAGCCAGAGTGCTCCTTAGAAGCGAAGATGGCCAGACTTGGTCTCACATACTTCGGACATGTTATGAGGAGGGACCAGTCCCTAGAGAAGGGGATCATGCTTGGTGAAGTAGAGGGTCAGCGACAAAGAGGAAGAGCCTCAACAAGATGGACGGACACGGGCTGCAATGACTTTGAGGATGGCGCAGGACCGGGCAGTGTTTCGTTTTGCTGTACATAGGGTCGCTATGAGTCAGAACCAACGCTATAGCACCTAACAACAATAATTAAAAATAAAAACCGAGAAATTTGAAGCATGAGGGTAGTTTTGAGATCAAATCAAATAGGCCTCAGGGCTCCGGTCCCTGGCAAGGCCTCACATACGGACAGGCCAAGTCCCAGGTGGGCAGCTGAACTCAGCAAGAGCTGGTGCTGGGGGAGCCAGTGTCCCCGCGTCCTGGGCACAGGGCCGCACAAGGGCGGGCTTTTTATCTGTGGCTATATCCAGAATGCCTGGTTATTCATTATGGAATTATTATAGAGTAAAACTAGAAACACTCCAACAGTCCAACAATCGGGGAATAACTGTAAAATACAGTCTATTCATTTGGGTGTTACATGGCCAATGTTTGTTGAATGAATAAATACAGGTTTTCAGCCGGCTCTCTAGACCCCCTCGTGTGTACGTTTCTCTACAGCATTCTCTCCAGACGGGGACAAAGGCCACGCAGACCAGGGAGGAGGCTTCTCTCCTGCCCAAGCAGGACAGGCCTGCCCCAGGGCTCCCCATAACCCACAAGAGCCAGTCCCCCAGGCCCCAGGAGACCGGAGGCCCTGGGTAACCAGACACAAGATTTATTTATATAAACGGGGTAGACACAAGACTGTGAAGAATGAATAAGGCTTGGCAGCTGGTGTTGTTGTTAGGCTCCATCGAGTCGATTCTGACTCATAGTTGACTCATAGCGAGCCCATGTGATAGAGCAGAACTACCCCAAAGGGTTTTCCAGGCTGTAATCTTCACAGGAGCAGATCTTCGTATCTTTTTCCTGCAGAGGTGCTGAGTGGGTTTGAAGTGCCAACTTGTAGGTTAGCAGCCACTGCACCACTGGGCCTCCTTAAAAATGAATATAGTTGCTTTAAAAAGCCACCTAAGATAAGCTGATGTTGTGTCTTAAACTGTCCCTCTGAAAAGCATCTCTGCTTTAAGGTGCTTACTGTGGCTATTTTCTCTTCTGGCAAATTCAGTGAAATATGCTGGGAAAAAGCTTAGGGTTAAAAACACTGTAATTACCTGGACAGTCTTTCTAAAAGACACAAGAAGGAAAAATCAGGTGTGGGTGTTGGAAAGCTGGCAGTCGGCGGAAGTCTGCGCGTTTACGGGCAGGCCCGGGGTGGGTGAGGGACAAGGCACAGAGCTGTCGGGCCCTGGCAAACCTGTACTGACCCCAGAGCGAAACCAGCTTTGCTTCCTGCTGTCCATCAGCCTGTGCCTTGAATTACCCACCCGCAACAGGTAAACAGTGAAAGAAGAGAAAAGAAGTTCTACAGCAGGTAGAGTGCCCAGTTTTCACCGGTATACACCATGGGGAGATGTGTGGCTTCCCAGACTCGGCTCACACCCAGGACCTGGTGAGAGGCCGCAGGACAGAAGCCACAGGCCTCACAACTCCCGGGGCCACGCTCCTTCAGGGCCTTCGGTCATTTAAATGACATTGGTCAACACCTGTCTTCTCCTGGACAAAGGCTAGAAGTGACCCTGGAGGTCCTGTCATCCTGTCAACTACTCTACATTTGGGAAGAAGAAACCTGGGGGTGGGGCTGAGGTGGGGGCTCATCCTCTTTCCTTCCAAAAATCCCGGAAAGATAAGTAATAATGAGATAACTGCTTTTCAACACAAAAGCTTTATTTTTAAATTTCTAAGGCATACATCTTACACTGCGGTGAATGAAAATGAAGCTTAAGAAAAGCCATCCCCACCTCCTTTCGCCCAGACTTACACTGGGTGCCCCGTCCTGTGGCCGCCGGGGGTGATGGGACGGCGCAGGGGCTTGTCTGCGCTCCACTGCACAGCAGCTGGGCCCTTCCGCTGCTTGGCTATGGGCTTCCGTGTGTTGGTCATGATCTGAGGGGGCAAGAGGAAACGGCTTGCTCAGAGCTTCTGGTGAAGAAGAAAGGACCGCATTGGACAACTTCATCTAGAGTAACAGAAGGCCTTGCAGACGGACGAGGAAGGGTCATAGAACAGACTATTCAGATAAACAGAAATTCTGGGAGAAAATCGTTTTAGATTTAGCAGTATATAAAAAAAAATCAAACCACAGGAAAAGGAGAGAATAATTGAAGACAGTAACTTATCACATCTCTGGAAAGTTGGGAGTTTTGAAAATGAGAGAAAAGATTGACAGATTTGGTGTCATAAAAAAATTAACATGTCCACTTGTCTATTAAAGGTAAGCCAATTAACAAGCAAACAATAAATCAACTGGGAAGAAATTCTGCAGTAAATTTAACAGCTAAAAGGTTAAAACTTTCATTACATAAGGAGCTTTACATATCAACAAGGAAAACACTAAATAGATAATTGGGCAAAGAATTCAAACAGCCAAGTCACAAAACAGAAACTATCAACTTTAAATAGAAAAAAAAAAAAAAAATCAACCTCACTAGTAATACAGAAATACAACTTTTCAAAAAGGTATCATTCTTCAACTATTACATGAGCAACAATGAAAGAAATGAGCAGATCCACTGCTGACCATCCTTTAAAACATTAGTGGCAGTGAAATTTGAGACAACTCTTTTGGAAAGTGATTTGGTGTTTCATATTAAGAGTTGAAAAAAGGTTCATATCCTTGGGTGTATATGCCAGTGAAAGAATTTAAAATATGGAAAATGTTAAACAAGGTTGTTCGGTTTGTGCTTTACTAACTTAAAGGTTAGCAGTTTGAACCCACCCAGCCATGCTACGGAAGAAAGGCCAGGCGATCTGCTTCTGTAAAGATTAGAGCCAAGAAAATCCTATAGAGCAATTCTACTCTGTAACACACGGGGTCGCCATGAATCAGAATCAACTCGATGGCAAAGGGTTTGATTTTGGTTTGGTTCATTACAAAACTATTACAGAGTCCAACTGCAGCAACCCGTCTAGTAATAGGGAAATCAAGTAAAATGTGGCATATTCATTTGACATATGACATGGTCACTGACACTCATAAAGAAAAGCTTGTGAAAAAAATATTTATTTAAAACATTAACTAAAAATCAGGTTACAATATTGTACACCAACTGGGCTTTCAGTTATGCAAAAGTGGGCAACAAGTGGAATTGTACACTAGAGCGACCAGAGTGGGTATAGAGGGTAGTAAGACTGATTTTTCTCTTTCTTCTAGTTTCCAACTTTTTTGTAATATGGTTATTTTATGTTAATAATCAAGAAGAAAATGTTTAAAAAATAAATCTCTGTAAAACTGGTAAAATCTGAATAAGGTCTGTTAATTGTACCAATATCAATTGCCTGGTTTTGATATTGTACTACAGTTATGTAAGATTTATTATTGTTGTTAGGTGCCATGGAGTCAGTTCTGACTCCTAGCGACCCTACGTACAACAGAACAAAACACTGCCCGGTCCTGCACCATCCTCACAATCGTTGCTATGCCTGAGCCCGCTGTTGCAGCCACTGTGTCAATCCATCTCATTGAAGGTCTTCCTCTTTTTCACTGACCCTCTACTTTACCAAGCATGATGTCCTTTTCCAGGGGGTGGTCCCTCCTGATAACATGTCCAAAGTATGTGAGACGAACTCTCACCATCCTTGCTTCTAAGGAGCGTTCTGGCTGTACTTCTTTCAAGACAGATTTATTTGTTCTTCTGGCAGTCCATGGTATATTCAGTACTCTTCGCCAGCACTGTAATCCAATGCATCAATTCTTCTTTGGTCTTCCTTATTCATTGTCCAGCTTTCACATGCATATGAGGCGACTGAAAACACTATGGCTTGGGTCAGGCAGACCTTAGTCCTTAAAGTGGCATCTTTGCTTAACATTTTAAAGAGGTATTTTGCAGATTTGCCCAATGCAGTTTGTCATTTGATTTCTTGACTGCTGCTTCCATGGGTGTTGACTATGGATCCAAGTAAAATGAAACCCCTGACACCATCAATATTTTCTCTGTTTGTCATGATGTATTTGAAATACTGGTGGCATAGCTTCCTGCATCACAGCAAAACGCAAGCCACCACAGTACAACAAACTGACAGACGAATGGTGGTGTAAGATGTTACTACTGGGGAAACCGGGTGAAGGGTACCCGGGACCTCTCTGTAATATTTTTGCAACTTCCTGTGACTCTATAATTATTTCAGAATAAAAATGTTACAAAAAAGAAGAAAAAAATTAAAACAATTGGAATCATATCTTTGATTTCTTGATTTTTGAAACATATACCTTAAATACCAGATAAACAAAATAACTTTTCAGCAAAAATCAGGAAATCAAAGATGTGAATCCGAGGAGTCTCTGGGTGAAGCCATTGATTAAGCGCTCGATTACTAACTGAAAGGTTGACGGTTCGAACCCATCCAGAGACATCCTGGAAGACAGGCCTGGCGATCTGCTTCCAAAAAGTCACAGCTGCGAAAACCCTATGGAACGCATTTCTACTCCACACATATGGGATCTTCAAGAGTCACAATCGACTCAATGGCAACTAACTACGAGTATTTGAGGTAGGGAGAAAAATAGGGCCAATTTCCTATGGGAACCAGTGAGTTTCAGTCCCCTGTGCTCTGGGGACAGCTACTAGCTGGAGGAGTGGGCAGGATAGGATCCAAAGAGCTCCGATGAGGGGTGGGGGAACGCAAGGGGGCGTGAAGAGAGAAGGTGGAGGCCCCTACCCCCTCGGAGGAAGTGGGACAGAATGAAACTTTCCAAATAAAAACTAAAATGCAGTTCCATCTCCTTTACATCTCCTGTAAAACTTAAAAAGTAGGGCAGTTCAGCAATCACGTAGTACTGCTGTCTCCTCCGACTCCGACTTCCCTTCCATCACACTTCCCCCATCTAGTGTCTAGGGTCAAAGTTACATGACCGCCCCACCCCAGGGCAGGCCCTGTAAGTCCACTTCTCAATGGCATCTCAGGGCCAAGCATGTCTTCCCCTCTTCCCTCTCCGTTATACCATCAGACTCCCTGGGACACCTACAGAGCGGAGAGTCAAGAAGGCTAAGTCTTCAGCTACTAGAAGAGAAGAAAGAGTTATTATGTGGGTTCTTTCAGGAGCCCCTGGGTGGTGCAAACGGTTAATGCACTTGGCTGCTAACGGAAAGGTTGGAGGTTCAAGTCTACCCAGAAAGGCCTGGCAATCTGCTTCCGAAAGGTAACAGCCATTGAAAACCCTATGGAGCACAGTTCTATTCCAACACACACCGGGTTGCCACGAGTTGGAACTGACTCAGCCGCACTGGTTTTGGGTTCTTTCTCTGCTGCTAGCCCCCTGCGTCCTCCTCATCGGTTATCCTGAGCTCACCCCTTCCCAATTCCTTCCTAGATGGGAGAATATAGCACCTATGTGTGAGAGTGTTTCACACTTTTGAAAAGTCTGTCAGCTATACCATCTCCTTAGAACTTCGTAAGCCTGGGAGTAATTTAAGGTGGCTGGTATTTTTCCTCTCCAATGGATGAGGAAACTGCGTCTGTCAGCCAGAATTTTCTGGCCTGTTATCAGAATACGCAAGGAAAGCTGTTGACGGAGAAGGTTATGTGTGCAGGGGCCGAGCCCTGTGTTTGCCCCCCGCATCTCACAGCAGTGGCTTTCCAGCCCCGTCTTGAGGGACTGGCCTCCCATTCACCTTATTACCTGCTGCTGTAAGAGGTCTCCAGCCCCCTCTCTGGGCCCCTGGCTGCAAAGGAGCCTTTCTGGGCTGGAAGGATCTTAAAAGGTATCCGACCTGCTGAGACAGAGCTGTTTAAACTGAATTCCACAGAAATGCTTCAGGGCTGTGGGGAGTGGAGGAGAGAGAGGGCTCCTGGCACCCACCTCCACTCACCCAGAGACACTCAGCTTATCTGGGTTACAGATGGAGATTTGGAGCCTGGAAGCTGAAACCTGTTTCATCATCACAGCAACACACAAACCACCACCGACAGACAAATGGCGGCCGTGTATGAGGTGCGTGGCCCAGGAATCAAACGTGGGTCTCCCACATGGAAGGCGAAGAGTTCTACCACTGAACCACTGTCCTCTTTAGTGATTCTTAGGAAAACTAAATGAATTTGGGTCCTCACTGTAGAGGGGAAAAGAAGGTGTGGAAAGGCGATCTCCAGAATTTACAACTGGCACCTTCCCCCTAAACTGAGTCCATGCTGAAAAATCAGATCAGACATTAGCTCTGAATATGTCACACAGTCGGAGTCCTCTCAACTTTCAAGTACAGGATACAACTCACCAGAAAATCTACAGCTCTTCCAGAAGGTGACACTGCTAACCCATCAAGATTAAGCTGGTTCAAGTAACACTTGAGAAAATGATCTAACTTTCCTAAGCCTCAGTTTCCTCATCTATCAAATGTGGTGCTAGCAGAACTAACCTCCTAAGTTTGCCGGGAGGTATTAATTAATTGTAATCAGATGTGTGAAGCAGTCAGCACAGGGCCTGAACCACGGTATGTGCTGAGTTAATTTAAGACACGCCCGGGTGGTGCAGTGGTTAAGCATTCAGCCGCTAACTGAAAGGTCACAGTTCAAACCCACCAGGTGCTCCATGGGAGAATGATGTGGCAGCCTGCTTCCATAAAGATTAGAGCCTTGGAAACCCGATGGGGTAGTTCTACTCTGTCCTGTAGGGTCGCTATGAGTCGGAATCGACTCGACGGCAGTGGGTATTACTGCTGTTAGGGGGCAGTGGTCGTTTAGTAGTTGAATTCTCCCCATCCACTTGGGAGACCCGGGTTCGATTCCTGACCAATGCACCTCATGTGCAGTCACCACTCTTCTGTCAGTGGCAGTTGGTGGGTTGCTGTGATGCTGAACAGGTTTCAGAGGAGCTCCCAGACTAAGATGGACTAGGAAGAAAGGCCTGGAGATCTACTTCTGAAAACCAGCCAGTGAAAACTTCAAAACAAAGA